AGGATATAAAGGAAAGTCACGTGACCTGTTACGTCATGCAAGAATTTTTCGTATGAATACTTTCATGTTGCAATTGAATATGCTGTAATGAATGGTCACCTTGAAGTAGCAAAATATTTACATGAATTAAAGTATGGATTCATTTTATAACGCTTTAGAAACAGCAAGAAAATCACGTGACCTGTGACGTCATGCAAGAATTTTTCGTAACATTTCATAACAAGAAATAAAAATTAACACTTATTTTAAAAAATCAATTTTTTAAAATAAAAAATTATTTCTTGTTGAAATAATTTATACACAATATGGTTCAATGTTAACCCAATATTAATATTAATTTATGGTTGAAAATAAGGTTGAAAATAAAAATGAGCAAATACCGGCAATCTCTTACTACTGATGCGCGTTTTTATGTAACGTTTTTTATAATGCTATACTTTTTATAAAGTACTTTTTTATAACGTTGTTTAAGTGATATGTGAAAGTTTCTGAAATTTTTAATAATATTTGAATATCCGCTTTATTTTTTCTACATGCTTGTCTACTTTAATAAATGTTTGGAATTAATAATGTTGTTTGAACAAAGAATGAACTTTAAAAGTAATAAGTACTTTAAAAATGTAATAACACTATTATAGTTTTATTACTTTTATAATACAGTTAGTGACTAAAGTGTTATTACTTTTGTAGTTGTAAGTTTTGTATTGTTTTTGTTTTGTTTTTTGTAACTTTCTTGCTAGCAAACTTTTAATAATTTGCTCCTTATAAACAAAGTACACAGCTATGTATGAAGTAAAATTTTCAAGACCTAATATTTTACCAGAGTTTGCAAATCGTGATCGTATAATTTAACTCTTGATAAAAACTTGTTACATTATAATTATACAAATATATTTTACAAACAGATGACAATACATATTTTCTCTTTCATCTTTAAAATAAAAAATACATAAAATATGGGAAAGTCATCCTTTTTAAGGCCTAAAACCGTTTTTTTTTTTGCTTTGACTTAATGACTTATTGTTTTGCATTTAAGTTTACTTTAATTTCTTATGTAGTTATTAAATTTAAAACAATTTTTCAGTAACGCATATAATATAACTTGCGCAAATGGCCGTGATCAAGTTCTCTAACTTGAAAAACATTTTCGTGGTCGTACGAGACGAAAAACTGTACGCCTTTCCTGGGAAGGCTTGGTATTAGTAATAATATTAATAAAAAATCTAAAATTTAACAATAAAAAATGTTAAATCTACGTATATATTATGTCAATATATATGTATATTTAATAATTTAAAAATTTTTAAACTGATTTATTTTCAAAGAAAAATATTTATGAATCTTTTTAATTCATTGCCAAACCAACTCTATTTTATTTTAGTTCCTTATTTCATCACCCCACGCTTTTATAACTGTTTTTTGACATCTCAGCATGCTTGTGTGTAAAGTTTCAAGATTTATTATAGTTTTAGGTCATTGAATTTCAGGAATTTTAAACCCATTGGGAATTCTGTAGTACATGCGGTGCCATTGAGCTGGCTAACACCCTGGTAATTAAAAATAAAAAAATCTTTTCTATTAGATAAAGAAAATAATCAAGGATCCTTTTACCACTTAATTTAATAAGATACTGTAAAGAAATTGTAAAAGAGACACCAACTTATTAAAACATTAAAAGCAAAACTGGTAAAATGAATTTAAAGTAAATGCTCTGAGGCATAACTTTAACTTTTTTAATTTTAAAATGAACTATTAAAAAAGGAACACCTGTAGAACCTGGAAGTTTTAAAAATCAACAAGTTGCATGTAAATTTCGCAAACTAAAATTCACAAAAAATGGCACTTCAATAGCCAAGCACATAACTAACTGCATGAAATGTAGTGACCAAATAAAAAAACAATACTTTAAATGAAGTTCCCTTAAAAAAAAAGTTTAAACTGGTTTAATGATAGAAGAAGTTATTCCTAAACTTTTACTTGCTCAAGAAATAGAAGCAGATGATAAAATATGTTCACCAACTGGTGTACCAGTTGGTGAACTTCAATTGAGTCTTCTTTTATACTCCGAATTCTTGTGGAAGCCAAAATAGGCCTTTTCTCCTAATGAGGGTACAGCTCAAAAACTCAGTTTTATGGTCCGGCTGACGTCTGTTTATTACTGCTAGGAACCATTGTAAAAAGATTTTGATATTAGATAAAAGGTTTTGCATTAGATAAAGGTGGAGAGGTTAAAGCCATCGCTCTTGACTTTTCTAAAGCGTTTGATAGGGTTTGTCATGCTGGTTTTCTCTATAAACTTTCTTCTTATGGTGTATCTGGAAATATCTTTAAGATTATTGAATCTTTCCTTTCCAATCGTAGTATTAAAGTTGTCCTTGATGGACAGCACTCTTCTTCTTATTCTGTAACCTCAGGAGTTCCTCAAGATTCAATCCTTGACCCTATACTCTTTTTAATTCTATACCTTAATCTACCCTTCATTTTCTAGGATTAATTCTTACTTCTGATCTTTTTTGGAAACCATATATCAAATTCGTTGCAAAATTAGCATCTGCTAAAGTTGCATCTCTTTATTGAGCTCAACAATGATGCCCTTTCTCTTTTAGACAAGGTGCAAAAACGCATTGTAAACATAGCTGGACCTGCTCTTGCAGCCAACCTTCAACTATTATCACATCGTCATAATGTTGCTTCTCTTTCTTTTCTACAAATACTATAATGGCACTGCTCTAAAGAGCTAGCTTTTCTACTAATACTATAATGCTCTAAAGAGCTGCCATCTACTAAAATTCATTCAATTAAGTCTCATCATTTTTTTGTAACTGTTCTTAAGTGCTTGAAAAACTCTTATCTGTCTAGTTTTTTTCCTCCAACATCAACATTTTTTCAGCAACACATATAATAAAACTTGTGCAAACGGCCATGGTCAAGTTGTTTAAATAAAAAATGTTTTAGTGGATGTACGAGACGAAAAACCGCACGCCTTTCCTCGGAAGGCTTGTACTACTAATAAAAAGTGCATTGACAAATCAAAGAGTTTTGTTGCATGTTCTCAATAAAAAGCTCTTTCTCAATACTACAAGCTTGCTCAACAGCACATGAGATAAAGCAAAAACTAGAACACAGAACTGACTTCAAAATTCAAAATGTTTGAATTAATAAGGAAACTACTACTAAGAAACTTAGTTCATCCTATTCTAAACCCAAAATTCAATTTGGGGTTTATATCAGAGTTTTTAAAATTTTAACGTTAATGTTTTTAATACAATAAAAAATCATTCTCATCACTGACCAACGATCTGTGGCATTTATGTATGATTTTAAATCAAGCAATAAAATAAAGAATAATAAAATAATGCGTTGGAGAATAGCCTTGTCTCCATATTCTTATGATATCCATTATCGTCTTGGCCAATGTAATAGTTGTCCAGATACATTTACTTGTATTAGATGTGCAGCAATAAGTACAAAATTATTCTATGATTTGCATGCTGCACTTTGCCATCCTGATGTTACTTGCCTCCGTCATTTAATTCAATTAAGAAACCTACCTTATTCAGTAGAAGATGTAAAGCAAATATGTAGAGAATGTATAAAAAAATAAAATGCAAGTATGTGCATTTTATTTTTTGCCAAATGATGTGCACCTAATTAAAGCAACTCAACCATTCGACATATATCTATAGATTTCAAAAGTCCATTACCTTTTTCAACCCCTGAACAATATATGCTAACAATTGTAGACGAATATTCCTGTTTTCCCATTGCCTATCCTGTAAAAGATATGACAACTCAGACAATAATTAACTGTTTAGCTTTTTTCCATGTTTGATATGCCTAGCTATGTTATTTCTGATTGCGGATTCTCATAATATAATATTCTCATAACCCCTTACAAACTGATCAGAAGTGGGCTAGTTGAAAGATAAAATGGAATTGTTTTGAAGTCAATTTTACTCACTCTGAAATCTCGAAATTTGCGGTTTTCATCATGGAGAAGAGTTCTACCTAATGCTTTTCATGCTAGAAGATCTCTATTATCTATTTTTACTAATTGTAATCCACATGAACGCCTTTTCAATGCTCAACAAAGATCGTCATCTGGATCCTCAATTCCTTCATGGCTTCTCAACCCAGGACCTGTACTTATAAAAAGAAATGCAAAGTAAATATGAAGATTCAGTAAATGAGGTTCAGCTTATTGAAACAAATCCTCATTATGCTTATGTGAGATTTCCTAGTGGTCATGAGACTACTGTATCTACTAAACAGCTGGGTCCTATTGGAACAAGTCCTATAATACAAACATCAATTTAGAAATAACAGCCATTGATAACTACCTACCAACTCCTAATGAGTATCAGAATCCTATAGAGCAAATAAACATTCATAGATCTTCATGAATTTCTAAAGCGCCGGAAAGACTTATTTTATAAATACACAAGAACACTTTTAAGAGGGTGAATGTTATGTTAATGAGACTTACATATACGTAAATAATATTATTAATATATTTATGTATACATATAAATTTTCCATTATACTATATATACTTTATGTATTTTGATATTTTTTTATAGATTAATATAATTATAGCTCTGTTGAGCTTACAATTAATTTGGTTATTCTTTACAATGTAATAATTAGTAAAAAACATCTACATTATCAATAATTAGTATAAACATCTACCCAAAAACAATGAAATCCAAAAATAATAAAAAAAGCCCTGATAAAACAAAAGAAAATCTCATTAAATGATAAATTCTACATTGTGTTGATTATAACAAATTCATATGTAAACTTATTTTTCTTAACTCTGTATTCTTAAGTCAAGGCATGTGAAAAGAAGTGCTTTATAAAAAAAGTTATTGCATTATATTGATTTAAAAAAATGCATCCATTACTTTGCATTTATTTTTAGGTTTGTTTTATATGATTTTTAATTAAAACAATTTTTTTTATTAGAACCAGTTATTAAAATACAACATGTGTATTATTACCTCCAGTCTTTTGGTGTCTTAGTATCTCCTACAACAACAAGTTTCCATCCTTTAATAGCAGCTAAAGACTTAATATCTTTAGTTGGATAAAATATACTTGTAACAACTATCCATTTATCATACAAATCAGTTTCTGTTGTAGGTGAGTTCATAGCTATGGTTTCTTCCTCAATATTCATTTCAGACAGCTGACTTTCATTTAAATCTAAATCATACTTATCAACATTAGCATTTTCTTTATCAATATTTAGATTTCTAGCTTGTACAATATTAATTAATGTTTCCTGGTTGGTACGAATCTCTTTAACATTTTTCATGTTATTTCGAGCTTGGAATGAAATTAATTTCATTTTTTTTTCAATGTTTTCAGCAAATTTAACTAAAACATCTTGAGAACTCTTGATTTTTTCTATATCAGATTTTGAAGTAAGGATATTATCGAACACCAATTTTTTTAATGACACTAAGCTAGAATTTTTTGCGTTATTATAAATAACATATATAACAATTGGAACCAAAATTATTATAACTAAACCAATTTTGCGCTTCATTGTAAGAGGTTCAACCATTTCCCCTAATTAAAGTGTAAACTATCAACTTGACAAGTGATTGAGGTTTTGATTGTTGCCTATTTATAAAGTTCTGCGCATGCGTATAATTATTTTCATATAAATTCATTACTCACAACGAAGGTGCGGTGGGATTAAAGACCCAAACTATCTTTTAAATACCATTGGATAAACAAGTAAGCTGTCGCATTAAATACTGTTTGCGTAGTCGTACGCACAAGGAATTGTGGGATATCCTTAAAGTTGAAATTATAACTCGATTAAGCAAATTTGGCTTAAATTTTCTCATGTTTTCTGTATTAAATATAGTTTTCGTTCGATAAATAATGCTCTTTGATATCACATCAAAATTTACTCGATGTTGGAACGATTCTGAAAATGAAAAATAATCTAGCCACGCAAGTGTTAAGGTGGTATAGCCCCTTCAAAATTATCTTGGAAGTGAAATCTTATAGTCAAAATTAAAATTAAGAAAGATCTTATTAAACGAAATTGATTTATAAAACAACAGGTCGTTATGTTGTCATGGCAATTACCTAAAATGGCGGATAAAAGAAAATTTGCACATCGCACCGTCAAAAATATCTCAGATTCTAATAGATTGTTCAAAATAAAACTTGGCCCAATGATAAAAAAACAGTTTGATCTATGCAATCTGCCTAAAGTTTTTAAATCTGACTATAGTTTCCATATAGCACTACACGCATAATGAAGATTTTTGAATAAGCAATTTTTTAGTGCTGAAACAACAATATCTCAAACTCTGAAATGTTTTATAATTAACTTTTGGCAGATTACATACATTATATAAAAACACATCATTGCTGAAAATTTAGTTAAAAACTGATCACTAGAAAATGAATTAACTGAGACGGGAGATTAAAAGTTAGCAAAAAAAGACTTAAAAAATTAAAAAAGAGAAAAAAAAAATGCCAAAAATTATTTTAAAAATAAACAATAAATGTAAATTTAAGAGCAAAATATTTAAAAGCTAACAGTAGCATAAAGAGTTTTTGCTTTTCCTTACCATTTTGTTCTTTTTATTGCCCATGATTATTTTTCTACGCAACTTTACATCGGATTTATTTTTGTATGACGATTGATATAAACGTAAAATTTTACTTTCTCTATTGAAGCTATCTATTATAAATGTTCCTGGAATCAAATTGAGTTTTTCATAAGTCATCACAGATGCTTTCCTTCCAATATTAAAGGTTGCAATTGCATCATATGTGGCAAATTTCAAATGTAACAATGATCAGAATTTAGTTTTCCGTACTCGTTCCCATATCATCATGTTAAGACTCTCATTTTGGCTCTGAGTTTTTCCATGCATACATTTTGCAAGCAATTCGTTAGAGCTAAGTTATTTATAAATTGGCTTTAGTAACTCAATAATATCAAGTGGCAAACCAGGGCCAAGTTTATAGAGAGAAGGGTGTTTTCGATTAACATTGTGCTGGCAACAACTTTTTTCACCGTTTGGGCAATAGATGTGATAATTGTTTTCTTTTGAGGAAGGAACAAAAAATAATGAAGTAAATATTGCGCATTTTATGAACAAACTGATTTATGGTTCTAACTGCAATTCCATAATAGTTTTGCAATCTGTCAATTGTTGCATCAGTAAGTCTTTCTTTACCACCTAGGCGTCTTTCCTTTTTCAATTTTCTTAATCGTGTGCTAACTCTTTTTTGTACATGACAAACACATTCTAGTTTTGAAACTAGTATATTACCATATACTCTTTCAACAAATGAAAATGCCTAACTATCTCTGTCGCCATAAAATTCATATAGCGAAGTTTATATTTTTCAAAATATTGGTTTTGTTCCAGCAGCCTCCATACCGGTGGATGGACCAGTATAGTTGAGGTTACAAAAATGAGTAATTTTTAGCATTTTATATGCATAAGGGTCTCTGTTTTTTTTCTTTCCAATCAAAAGATATTTTTCGCAATATTTAGATAATAATTGCAATTCAAAACTTTTCCAGTAATCATAGATATTGCAGAATAAACACCGTTGTATGAGGAAAAGTCTCGATGTTGCCAAGTACCTTCACAAGAAACACTGATATTTATTAAATTGGATTCATTAGTAGTGTGTTGAGATGCTTTTATAATTTGCAAATGCAGCATCAGACATGTTTTCTACTGCAATTCCTTCAACTTCAATAGCAATTTTACGAACAATTTTAATGTAAGTGTTTTTATTCATTGGCGGTGGAAGATCCATAAGATAACAGAAACTTTTCAGGCCAGTATGGTCCTGTCCACATAAACGCATTGCATAAATAGACCTATGGTTAATATCAAAATCTTTACAACTTTCAGAACCACACTTCTTGGATGTTAAAAATTCATGATGGAATCCACATTTACAGAATATAATCAATGAGCTGGAAAACCCAATTTTTTTTTTTGCATTTTCAGCTAAAACAAGTCTACAAATTTTACATTCTGGACGACATAATAACTGAACAATAATGTCTAATATAGTGCTATCAATTATCCTGTATTCACATATGTTTTTTTTTTTATTAGAACTTGCAGAAGTATTAATAGGATTTATCTTGGAATAAGATTTATTGAGCTCTGTGAATCTGTTAGGAGAAGACTAGTATTTGCTGAATTCGTTTTATTTAATGTATATTAATTTCCATGAAATCTTTTTTTCTTTTTGTTTAGAGTAGTGTATTTCACACGTTCTCTACCCATTCAAAGTATAAGGTTTAAATTATTTATAAACATAAACAGATGCACAGATATATATAACTTTAAGATGTCTATTCGTTTTAAAGAAATTTTTGGAAGAAATTTATAAGAAATTCGTCAGTTTTTGTCAGTTAACAGTTATTATCAATTAGTCAGAAATCGTCAGTTAACCCAGTTATTGCTTTTAATCTTATAGATGTTTTGATTAATGGAAAATAGAAACAAGTTATAAACTTATTTCAACAATCTCTTTCTAAAATTAAAAGTTATATTTGGGGAGAATTTCTTGACCAAATAAAAATTTAACCATTGCAATGGAGGTTGTCAAGGGCGCGTAAAAAAGTAAGGTTCAGTAAAGTTTGATTTCCTTAAGTTATATACTGAATTTCAAAAAATGGTTTTTAGAATATGACTCTCTGATAGATTTCAAATAAAATAAAACCACAAACATATTTTTGAAAAATTTTTTATATTTCTGAAGGGTATACCTTAACACAAAGCACACAAAAACCAATCAAAGTGTCACAACATTGTCTATGCAGTTAATGCCAATACCAAAAACAACAAAGTTGGAAAAAAAAAAAGTTTAGTAAAGTATCTGTTGCTGGTTGACAATCAATAGATACACTAATTTATAAATGACAAGTCAAAATACCGTTAGAAAGCGAATAAGAACAGATAATTAACTTAATACTGACCTTTCAGTAAAAGCTATAAATATTGTTCTATCAACTAAAGCAGACAAGACTCTATGATTTAAACAACTGGAGGTTGTTTTATTAATTATTTTTATTTATCTATTTATTAATTAATCCTCGCTTTCTTACCCCGACTCGATATTTATCGCTTTCTAACCGACTCTTGGTTAGCAGTCTATTTGATAATGCTGTTATATAAGTTTGCTAGTATTAGTATTATAAACAATATTTATATTTTATAATGCATAAAAAAGATTAAAGCTTGCATAAATATTTACATTAAATCAAGAAAGTAAATAATATTAATATAGTTTTAGCATTAGTAATTTAAATATACTGACAAACTCTGTTAAATATCAAAATAAAAGCCAAATAAAACATGTAAAAAAACGATTTTCATTTCAAAAAATCAAGAGAATTATTTTTCTAATTTAAAAATTTTATGTTTTATTACAAACTTAAAGAAATTTACGATTTTACCGTATTTAAATTTTTTGTTTTTTGAAAAGTGTTCTATAGTTTGGTTACTATTAGTTTATAAGTATTCCATTGGTTTATTCTTGGTAGTTTATAAGTATTCCATTAGTTTATTCTTGGTAGTTTATAAGTATTCCATTGGTTTATTCTTGGTAATTTATAAGTATTTCATTGGTTTATTCTTGGTAGTTTATAAGTATTCCATTGGTTTATTCTTGGTTGTTTATAAGTATTCCATTGGTTTATTCTTGGTAGTTTATAAGTATTCCATTGGTTTATTCTAAGAGAACACTTTTGTTTTACATTTTTTGTAAATTTATTATTAAAGTTTTTTGTTTTTACATTTATTTATTAAAATTAGGTGTTGGTAAATATTGATTTCATATATATTCATCATTTGCATATCTTTCATTTATGGTTTTGCATGTTCATATTTTTTTTCTTATATATAAGTCTGCATGCACGTAATATTGGTAAATGAGACAATGTATTAGGCCAAAATATACTAGTTTCAAACTTTCTGATGTTACATATGGACACATTTGGTTCATCAAACCATTTGTTTTACATTTTTTGATTGAATGTAATACAGGGCTGAGGACACGGGTTTCGAAGAAGGGGGAAGGCACAACCTAATAAAAAAATATCAAGTCTTAAAAAAAATTATCTAGAATTTTCTTATACTTCAAAAAAAAAAAAAAAATCCTTTAGAAAAAGAGTAAGGGGGCACGTGCCCCCTGCCCCTTTCCCTCCCCCTCCCCCGGTGTTGTCGGCCCAGTAATTTATATAGAAAGCCATGATAAACTTTTATAAATAAGAATTTGTAAATGTATCACTTAAAATCAAATCAATTAATTTTAAAGGAAGTTTTTCATCTTGTGATTTTTTATGAAATAAAATACATCTTGTTTTGTCTACATTGAGTAAAAATTTACAAGCCTTAAACCATCAACATTCTTTATTTTAAAATTCATGTCAGAATACAGTTAATTAATGTCACAGTTTGAAAGGAAGAGATTTGTGTTGTCAGCAAACATTATTGAGTTAAGCTTTGCTGATGCATTATATTAAATCATTTACGTAAATCTTCTGCGTTTCTCAATCTCTTACTCAGATAGTTAACTTTGTGACTCGTTTCCTGACAACCCTAATCATTTACCTTCACTCCTTGACTTCTTCTCTCTGACCCTAGCTTATGTTCA